TATCTATCTATCTATCTATCTATCTATCTATCTATCTATCTATCTATCTATCTATCTATCTATCTATCTATCTATCTATCTATCTATCTATCTATCTATCTATCTATCTATCTATCTATCTATCTATCTATCTATCTATCTATCTATCTATCTATCTATCTATCTATCTATCTATCTATCTATCTATCTATCTATCTATCTATCTATCTATCTATCTATCTATCTATCTATCTATCTATCTATCTATCTATCTATCTATCTATCTATCTATCTATCTATCTATCTATCTATCTATCTATCTATCTATCTATCTATCTATCTATCTATCTATCTATCTATCTATCTATCTATCTATCTATCTATCTATCTATCTATCTATCTATCTATCTATCTATCTATCTATCTATCTATCTATCTATCTATCTATCTATCTATCTATCTATCTATCTATCTATCTATCTATCTATCTATCTATCTATCTATCTATCTATCTATCTATCTATCTATCTATCTATCTATCTATCTATCTATCTATCTATCTATCTATCTATCTATCTATCTATCTATCTATCTATCTATCTATCTATCTATCTATCTATCTATCTATCTATCTATCTATCTATCTATCTATCTATCTATCTATCTATCTATCTATCTATCTATCTATCTATCTATCTATCTATCTATCTATCTATCTATCTATCTATCTATCTATCTATCTATCTATCTATCTATCTATCTATCTATCTATCTATCTATCTATCTATCTATCTATCTATCTATCTATCTATCTATCTATCTATCTATCTATCTATCTATCTATCTATCTATCTATCTATCTATCTATCTATCTATCTATCTATCTATCTATCTATCTATCTATCTATCTATCTATCTATCTATCTATCTATCTATCTATCTATCTATCTATCTATCTATCTATCTATCTATCTATCTATCTATCTATCTATCTATCTATCTATCTATCTATCTATCTATCTATCTATCTATCTATCTATCTATCTATCTATCTATCTATCTATCTATCTATCTATCTATCTATCTATCTATCTATCTATCTATCTATCTATCTATCTATCTATCTATCTATCTATCTATCTATCTATCTATCTATCTATCTATCTATCTATCTATCTATCTATCTATCTATCTATCTATCTATCTATCTATCTATCTATCTATCTATCTATCTATCTATCTATCTATCTATCTATCTATCTATCTATCTATCTATCTATCTATCTATCTATCTATCTATCTATCTATCTATCTATCTATCTATCTATCTATCTATCTATCTATCTATCTATCTATCTATCTATCTATCTATCTATCTATCTATCTATCTATCTATCTATCTATCTATCTATCTATCTATCTATCTATCTATCTATCTATCTATCTATCTATCTATCTATCTATCTATCTATCTATCTATCTATCTATCTATCTATCTATCTATCTATCTATCTATCTATCTATCTATCTATCTATCTATCTATCTATCTATCTATCTATCTATCTATCTATCTATCTATCTATCTATCTATCTATCTATCTATCTATCTATCTATCTATCTATCTATCTATCTATCTATCTATCTATCTATCTATCTATCTATCTATCTATCTATCTATCTATCTATCTATCTATCTATCTATCTATCTATCTATCTATCTATCTATCTATCTATCTATCTATCTATCTATCTATCTATCTATCTATCTATCTATCTATCTATCTATCTATCTATCTATCTATCTATCTATCTATCTATCTATCTATCTATCTATCTATCTATCTATCTATCTATCTATCTATCTATCTATCTATCTATCTATCTATCTATCTATCTATCTATCTATCTATCTATCTATCTATCTATCTATCTATCTATCTATCTATCTATATATCTATCTATCTATCTATCTATCTATCTATCTATCTATCTATCTATCTATCTATCTATCTATCTATCTATCTATCTATCTATATATATATATATAATATATATATATATAGATATATATATATATATATATATTATATATATATATATATATCTATATATATATATATATATCTATATATGTATGTATAGAGAGATAGATATATAGATACATAAATATACATATCTATCTATCTATCTATCTATCTATATATATATATATATATATATATATATATATATATATATATACATGCATACATACATGTATATAGAAATATAGATATAGGTAGATAGAGTACTTATATACGTATATGTATTTGCACAAACACACACGCTGGATGGTTTATGCGCAAAGTCCTCATCCATCCCACCTGACACCCACTCGCCACTCGAGCATATAACATTTGCTCAAACTGGATATTCTATCCATATTTCAGAATTATTTTCGCAGCAAAGAGAATCACCTAAAACCTTTTCAAATCTAATGATACAATTCCACTTGTAATAACATCAAACATTGTCTACAAATATCCGTGTGATAGTTGTAAGGCAACGTGCATCTGAAAAGACGCATCTCAAAAATGTCTCAGTTTGGGCAAGCGCTCCATACCAGCAGCAGCTCCTCTTCATGGAAAGCTTACTTACACCCCAGGCATAAGCTGATAGTTAGCAACAAGGAAAGATCAGCTCCACTCATATGTTTCGAAACGTAACCACTGACCGTATTAAACTGTTTCGTTCTGTTCTGTTTTACATTTATGAATTTCCCTTTTAACGGTATCTGTTCTTCTGTATTGCACACATATATCCATACTTACAGAATGAAACATACATATATCAATATATAATATTTACATTGAAATGATAATTTTAACTTTAGCTTGCCAAATAAAATGCACTAATGTGCTTGTATTAAAATCGTCTTTAGAGCCACCTTGCAAAATGAAGCGTCCATGCAAAAAGGAACATGGATACTGCACAACAGGATATTGCAAAGGCAAAGAAGTTGAAATAGCGAAGGGCTGCAAAGGGGACGGCTGCCGATGCTGTGCTGACAAACGTAAGTTGCCTTATTAATGTATAAAGCCATCAATATCACACTACTGTCTTCATGGGTCAAAATATATATACATACATTCATATATGTATATATATATATATACACATACATATATGTGTATGCATGTATAGAGAGATAGATATATAGATACATAAATATACATATCTATATTTATCTATACATGCATACATACATATATATAGAAATACAGATATAGATATAGGTAGATAGAGTACTTATATACATATATGTATATGCACAAACACACGCTGGATGACTTAGGCGCAAAGTCCTCATCCATCCCACCTGTCACACACTCGCCACTCGAGCATATAACATTTGCTCAAACTGGATATTCTATCCATATTTCAGAATTATTTTCGCAGCAAAGAGAATCACCTAAAACCTTTTCAAATCTAATGATACAATTCCACTTGTAATAACATCAAACATTGTCTACGAATATCCGTGTGATAGTTGTAAGGCAACGTGCATCTGAAAAGACGCATCTCAAAAATGTCTCAGTTTGGGCAAGCGCTCCATACCAGCAGCAGCTCCTCTTCATGGAAAGCTTACTTACACCCCAGGCATAAGCTGATAGTTAGCAACAAGGAAAGATCAGCTCCACTCATATGTTTCGAAACGTAATCTCTGACTGTATTAAACTGTTTCGTTCTGTTCTGTTTTACCTTTATGAATTTCCCTTTTAACAGTATCTGTTCTGGATATCTCTGTGCAATATCTGTATTGCACACAGATATCCATACTTACAGAAAGAAAGACACATATATCAGTATATAATATTTACGTTGGAATGATCGGTTTAACTTTAGCTTGCCAAATGAAATGTACTAATGTGCTTTTATTAAAAACGTCTTTAGAGCCACCTTGCAAAATGAAGCGTCCATGCAAGAAGGAACATGGATACTGCACAACAGGATATTGCAAAGGCGAAGAAGTTGAAATAGCGAAGGGCTGCAAAGGGGACGGTTGCCGATGCTGTGCTGACAAACGTAAGTTGCCTTATTAATGTATAAAGCCATCAGTATCACACTGTTGTCTACATGGGTTAAAATATACATATATGTATATGTATATGTATGCATATACATATATATTTATGTATGTACATACATATTACTACATATATGTGTGTATGTATGTATGTATGTATAGAGAGATAGATATATAGATACATAAATATACATATCTATATATGCATACATATATAGATATATATAAATACACATATATATATAGAAACATAGATATAGATATAAGTAGACAGATGGAGTTAAATACGTATATGTATATGCACAAATACACACGCTGGATGGTTTATGCGCAAAGTTGTCTTCATGGGTCAACATATATATACATACATGCATATATGTATATGTATATATATATATATATATATATATATATATATATATATATATATATACATACATATATATGTTTGTATATATGCACACATATTAATACGTATACACACACACACACACACACATACACACACACACACACATATATATATATATGTGTGTGTGTGTGTGTGTGTGTGTGTGTGTGTGTATTTATGTATGTATAGAAAAATAGATATATAGATACATAAATATACATATCTATATATATCTATACATGCATACATACATACATACATATATATATACATACATATATATATATATATATATATATATATATATATATATATATATATATATATACATATATATATATATATATATATATATATATATATATATATATATATATATATATATATATATATGTATATATATATATATTGAGAGAGAGAGAGAGAGAGAAATATAGATATAGGAAGATAGATAGAGTATTTATATATGTATATGTATATGGTGTGGTAGTTTAGATAGAGTTAAGTGCTTTATATGCCTTCTCGCTTGTAGCTGCCACCGCTGACTAGCCTGGCGCGAAAATGGGGCAGCTATGCATAAGACTCTCCTGTCAGCTCATAGCTTCTCCATCATCAAGACTTCTGCAGTGCCTCCTCATGGCCACCCAGGGAAACTAGGTACCTTGCGGTCCTAGGCTGAACTATGGAGGCTCTTGGAGCAGTAGGAGGCCCTAAAGGTACGGAGTCATGGCCCACTGGCGTGTGGACACGCTCTGGCTTCGTACTAACTCCTGCCCATGTGCCCCCTGGGGCTAATGGGCGGCTGTGGGGAGGCAGGCCTTGCCGAACTGCCTCCCCAAGAAAACCTAACTGACAGCAAACTTTATAGATGTTGGTACTGGGGGGAGGGCTAATGTCCCTCCTACCCAGCAAGTACGGTGACCGCTGGGACTCGGGTAGGGAGCGGGGGTTACCCGTCGTCCCTATGCTTCCCGGCGGCCGCCAACCTGGCGTGAGGCTTATGGGGGTAAGGCCCCGGGAACCCTGCAGGTAGATTATAGGACCTGCAGCTAGCCAAACCCCTCTATATGGGGCGGCGTCGGTAGGGGTGGCAAGGGTGCCGCCTACCCGGAGTGACTGCCCGAGGTTAGACCTCAGGTGGGCTGTCAGGGTGAGGGCTTGGAACGTCCGTTCCATGCGACAGGACGATCGGTTACCACTACTGTCGAGGGAATTGAAGTAGCCGAGAGTTGAGGTGGCTGCTCTCTCGGAGGTGGAGGCAGTGGCACAATTAGTGTGGGTGGCTACACTTATTACTGGTCGGGCCGCAGCGATGGCCACCACCTCCAGTGAGTAGCCATAGCCATCTCCAGCAGACTTCAACCCCCAGTAGTAGAGGTCACTCCAATCGATGAGTATATTATGGTATTGATACTGAAGCTTACATTTGGCTTTATGTCTCTTATTGTAGTGTACACTTATATGATGTATATAAACTGTTTTACTTCAAACTTGTATCTGTGACAGACAGCTGTCCTCGGCAAGATATTTGTACTGTCCTGGGTGACTTCAGTGCGGTATCTGGCTGCAATCGAGCTGGTTACGAGATGTCTGTCAGCTGTCATGGCTCAGGAGCTGATACTGGCAGCGAGAATAGCCTCTTTTTCCGTGACTTTGCTAGGTCTTACAAATTGAGGATTTCTGGCTCCTGGTATCAGCGTTCTGACCCGCATTGTTGGACTTGGTACAGCAATACAGGTAGTGTGGCCAAGGAGATCGACCACATCCTTGTTATCACTTGATGGAGGATCCTCCAGAACTGCAGGGTGTATCGGAGCGCCTGTGGAACCGATCATAGATTAGTTGTGGCTACTTTCCGGGTCCACTTTAGATTGGTCCAATGGACACCTTATGGTGCTTTATGTGGACAGATTGAGGGAGGATGAGTATACCCGAGGGGTTTGCCGAGGCTATCTCTGGTTGTTTCACAGCACTCGAGGGCCTGATGGACCCTGTTCTTCTGTGGGACACCTTCAAGCGTGAAAAGCTTGATGCAGCACAAGAATCAATTGGTGAACGCCCAAGAGCAAGACAGAATTCCATCTTGCAGGAGACACTGGAAGCCACAGATGCTTGTCATGTGACTCGATTGTCAGGGGATCACAACTAGCGCCTTTCTCTGGTGTGAAGGACTAGGTCACTGTTGATAAGGAACAGTTTATCAGGAATCTTGCAGACGAGGTTGAAAGCCATTTCCTAGTAAATGATCTTCATCCTACCTACCAAGCCCTGAGAAAGCTGAACTCCAAGCCCTCCTCACAGACAACTACAGTCCACTCAACCAGATAATCTCAGATCCTGATAGGGTGTGGGTGTGTTGGGTATTTTGAGCAGTTGTATCAGGTTGATCCACCAACAGTTAATTTGGATGTGGATAATGTTGAGATTCCTCCGCCAGACCCACCCATCAGTGAGGATCCACCCTCCCTAACTGAAGTCAGGGAGGTGATTTCCAAGCTGAAGAGTGGTAAAGTAGCAGGTGTTTGTGGCATCCCAGATGAACTGTTATAGGCTGGTGGAGAACCTATGGCAAGGGGCTTGCAAACAGTCCTGTCTGCCATCTGGCAGACTGATACCATTCCCCCTGACCTGCTGAGGGGTGTGGTCATCCCTCTCTGGAAGGGGAAAGGGGATTAGTGGAATTGCAGCAATCACTGAAGCATTACACTATTCAGTATACCAAGCAAAGTGTGAATACGTAGCAAGACCGGATGGCAGATTCACACCTCGGTCCAAGCAGCTGCCTTTCTCCTTGGGCAGGACGCAGGTGCTGCCTTCCTTTCTCTTTTCACACAGGAATAAACATCCGCCCTCCAAGGAAACCGCCACATAAAAGGGACACGTGCCTAAGACGAGGGAGAGACACGGCAGACAGGCCAAGCCACACAGGGTCCAGCTCCACTACCTCGTCCTCCATCCGGGGACACAGGGGTCTCTTGGGGGTCTCATATCTAACTTCAGAAATAAACCAGCAAGTTAAGACCCCTTTCATTGACCGCCCCAAGACCATCTCTGTTACACTTACATCTGGTGGCGGCGGTGATCAAGAGCCTCACAACGCCGACAGTAATTCACCTACCACTACGCTCCTTGCCGATGCTGATCCATGCTATCTACCTACAAGCTACTCCTGTCGAAGTGCCTCCTCGCCTCCTTTTAACGCCTAGCCACCACTACCAAGTCTTCTTCGGACCATGTCACGTGCTGACCACTCACGCCTGTGCTACCCACCTGACGAAGTCGCTGACGATATGTTCCCGCACTCTACGCCACCACACTCGCCAATCCGGTTCATCTACCTCGCCAAGTCTTCACGAACCTTCGTCAGCACAACCATGGAGCCACCATTCTACTCAGCACCACCAATACTTCCTAGCTACTATTAAAAGTGAGTGTACCTATTAGTGCCAGATTAACTATTGCCCTCCTTATACCCACCCACACCTTACATACAAGTTGCCTTCTATTAAATTCAAGTACATGCCACTCAATGAACACAAACTACTAACTATATAATACATAACTTCTCGCTGTTAACCATTGTTTTTTCAACACAACAAGCGAAGTCACACACTGAGATCAAACCCAAGTGACACACACTACTCCTCACACCTCTTTCCCCTTCCCTAACCATATTTTAATTGCCATGATATTTTTCTGCTATTGGTGTTTTATCTAATGTTTTCTTATTGTTGTCCTCACATTGCAGTTCATTATATTTTATTTTCTCTTAGAACAAATAAGTATGTGTAGATATGTTCGATTTTCCCCATTATGTTATTCATATTTACTACTACGATTTTTGTTTTCACCTGCATACTGTACCATACTAATAAGTGCTTCGTTACTGCTTCCTCTATGATTGTGCGTATATCTTTCGGTATATTTTCTTATACTTCCCACACTAATCGTTCGCTTTTTCACACATAGTTTTAAGATACATGACGAATACCTGCCTTAGGCCCAAACCCACCTACCTGCCAATTCCACACGGAATTCACTCTAGGATTATGAATTTTACTAAGTGCCATCCCTAAGACTTTTAACTGAACCCAAATCGCTTTCATGACGTCCTCTCGAAGTTCGATATTTTATCCTCATCTATGCCAGAATTTATACTTCTTTAGTTTAAGGAATTGGTGAATATGTAACTTGTATCTGACTGATGGCAGTCTCTTCTGTTGCAAATGATCATAATGCTGATAATGCACTACAGACACCATACTTCAGATAGGCTTACATAATTATTATCACCACAAGTTAATTTTAAGCCCGGCTCATGGCCGTAAATGAATGAATCCTGCGCCCGCCGCACCGAGATGTTACTTACGCTCATACGATTGAAGCGCCCGAGACGCGCACGACCGGCTCATGGCCGTAAACGAAGGAATCCTGCGCCCGCCGCACACTTACGCTCATACGATTATAGCGCCGAGACGCGCACTGTTAAAATTAAATTCAGGCCCAGCTGCCTATATGTTCGAAGCATATATACTTGCCTATTTAGCCCAAAGATATGGTATTCTTGTCCAATTAAGTAATTAACACCCACTTACTTGACATATTACCCTTCTTGTGACAAATTGTTCTTATTATGCTCTCATTTTTTCCTAGCAACTTAGTAAGGTGATTAACAAACACATTATTACCATCCTCCTTAGCCCTTTTACTGGCCTGGTACACTTATATTTCAGCTTCTCAAGATGTTTGACCCTCCTCGCTACTGAATGTTGCACTGAGGTACCTTGGCACGCGACGACCCTAGCGACCATCGGATCACCAGGAACCATCTGTAGATACGAACAGAACCTGTATCCCTATGTGCTACTGCAGTGTTCAAGAGTTGCAGACGGCTCGAGGACGAACTTTACGCGTGGCTGAGCCATGTGAACAATACGTAGCAAGACCGGATGGCAGATTAACACCTCGGTCCAAGCAGCTGCCTTTCTCCTTGGGCAGGACGCAGGTGCTGCCTTCCTTTCTTTTTTCACAGAGGAATAAACATCCGCCCTCCAAGGAAACCGTCGCATAGAAGGAGCACGTGCCTAAGACGAGGGAGAGACACGGCAGACAGGCCAAGCCACACAGAGTCCAGCTCCACCACCTCGTCCTCCACCCGGGGACACAGGGGTCTCTTGGGGGGTCTCATATCTACCTTCAGAAATAGAACAGCAAGTTAAGACCCCTTTCATTGACCGCCTCGAGACCATCTCTGTTACACTTACACAAGGTACACATCCTACTGTAATGTATCAGAGACCACCTGCTGAGGCACCAGAGGCTGGAGCAATCTGGATTCACTTCTGGTAAGTCCATAAAAAACTATATTCTGGCGCTTTGAGTCACTGTAGAGCACCGTCTTGAGTTCGGACATGGGCTGCTCGCAGCTTACAACGACCACAAGAAGGCGTTTGATACCATGCATCGCGAATCTCTCTGGGAGATCCTGAGACTAAGAGGAATTCCAACAAGGATTATTGTATTAATAGCAAACCTGTATACAGGCACTGAAAGTGCTGTAAAGTGTGGTGGGGGCCTGTCGAGCTTCTTCCCTGTTAGTTCAAGTGTGAGGCAAGGCTATGTTCTTGCACCAACACTTTTCAACACTTGCATGGACTGGATACTGGGTAGAGCTACTGTCCAAAGTCCCTGTGGAGCAACTCTGGGCAATATCAAGGTTACTGACCTTGTTACTATTCTATCTGAATCTCTGGAAAGCCTAGTGGCGGCTCTTGATGCATTTAGCAATGAAGCGAAGCCCCTGGGGCTAGAGGTCTCCTGGACCAAGACCAAGATCCAGGATTTTGGGGGCCTACTAGGAAACCCTGAAGAAGTCGTAGCTTGGGCAGACCGATCAATCCTGTCGTGAGTAGCTAAAGATGGGCCAGGCCCCTGCTCGCCATGAGAGACCCTCGTAGGTAGAAGCGAAGGGTGAATGCGGCTATGCACCCCCGCCGGCGTTAACTCCCGAATGATGGATGATATGCACAAACACACACACTAGATAGCTTATCCTCAATGTACTCATCCATCCCACCTGTCAACACACTCGCCACTCGAGCATATAACATTTGTTCAAACAAATTTAAATCTGATGGTACAATTGTTAAACATTGTCTACAAATATTTGTGTGATAATTGTAAGGCAACGTGCATCTGAAAAGACGCATCTCACAAAAATGTCTCAGTCTTGGCAAGCACTCCATACCAGCAGCCGCTCCTCTTCATGGAAAGCTTACTTACACCCCAGGCATAAGCTGATAGTTAGCAACAAGGAAAGATCAGCTCCACTCATATGTTTCGAAACGTAACCACTGACCGTATTAAACTGTTTCGTTCTGTTCTGTTTTACATTTATGAATTTCCCTTTTAACGGTATCTGTTCTTCTGTATTGCACACATATATCCATACTTACAGAAAGAAGCACATATATATCAATATATATTAACGTTGGAATGATCGTTTTAACTTTAGCTTGCCAAATAAAATGCACTAATGTGATTGTATTAAAATCAGCTTTAGAACCACCTTGCAAAATGAAGCGTCCATGCAAGAAGGAAAATGGATACTGCACAACAGGATATTGCAAAGGCAAAGAAGTTGAAATAGCTAATGGCTGCAAAGGGGACGGCTGCCGATGCTGTGCTGACAAACGTAAGTTGCCTTATTAATGTATAAAGCCATCAGTATCACACTGCTGTCTTCATGGGTTCAAATATATATACGTACATATAAGTACATATACATACATACATATATATATATATATATATATATATATATATATATATATATATATATACACACATATTAATATGTATATATATATATATATATATATATATATATATATATATATATACATATATTCGTTCTGTTCTGTTTTACATATGAATTTCCCTTTTAACGGTATCTGTTCTTCTATATTGCGCACAGATATCCGTACTTACAGAAAGAAACATACTTGCCATCTTAACACTGGAATGATCGTTTTAACTTTAGCTTGCCAAATGAAATGTACTGATGTGCTTGTATTAAAATCGTCTTTAGAGCCACCTTGCAAAATGAAGCGTCCATGCAAGAAGAAAAAGGGATATTGTACAAAAGGATATTGCAAGGCCTCAGAAGTTGAAATAGCTAAAGGCTGCAAAGGGGACGGCTGCCGATGCTGTGCTGACAAACGTAAGTTGCCTTATTAATGTAAAAAGCTATCAGTATCACACTGCTGTCTTCATGGGTCAAAATATACATATATGTATATGTATATATATACACATGCATATACATATATATGTATGTATATATATACATATTAATACATATATGTGTGTATGTATGTATAGAGAGATAGATATATAGATACATAAATATACATATCTATATATGCATACATACACATGTAGAAATATAGACATAGATATAGGTAGATAGATGGAGTTTTTATATACGTATATGTGTATGCACAAACACACACGCTGGATGGTTTATGCGCAAAGTCCTCATCCATCCCACCTGACACCCACTCGCCACTCGAGCATCAAACTGGACATTCTACCCATATTTCAGAATTATTTTCGCAGCAAAGAGAATCACCTAAAACCTTTTTCAAATTTAATGATACAATTCCACTTGAATTAAGATCAAACATTGTCTACAAATATCCGTGTGATAGTTGTAAGGCAACGTGCATCTGAAAAGACGCATCTCACAAAATTGTCTCAGTCTTGGCAAGCACTCCATACCAGCAGCAGCTCCTCTTCATGGAAAGCATTCTTGCAGGCCAGACATAAGCCAATAGTTAGCAACAAGGAAAGATCAACTCCACTCATATGTTTCGAAACGTAAATCACAGACCGTATTAACCTGTTTCGTTCTGTTCTATTTTACCTTTTTGAATTTCCCTTTTAACAGTATCTTTTTCTTCTGTATTGCACACAGATATCCATACTTACAGAAAGAAACACATATATATCAATATATATTTACGTTGGAATGATCGTTTTAACTTTAGCTTGCTAAATA